TTGGTAGGAATGTCATCTTTTTAATTTAGTTTTATTTTTCATGGGGTTGCTGGGGATTGAACCCAGGCCCTCGTGCATGCTAACTCGTGCCTGCTAAGCACACGCTTTACCACTGAGCTACACCTTCCCCCCAGGAAAGTCATCTTTCATTCCTGACACCTAGTAATTCCTCTCTTAGCTTTTTAATTTTATTTTTTATGTTCTGTATCAGTTGTCTGGATTATAAGATGTCAGTAATATGAAAACATTTTTAATATAACAGAACATTTAGCCACATCAGTTTCTCATCAAGGCACAAGTCATTTACTGATGAGGATACTGACCATTTCCATCCATTGGCAGGAGGCTCTTCCACTAAGGGCTCCCATGGATCCCACTGTACCATGTTTCTCACCGGATCTAGTGCATTTTCAGTCTGAAGAATCACCCCGGCTATTTGGCCACCCTGAAGTGGCCCTTCTGATTTTCTAACAATGGGTTCTGCTTTAACCATACCCAGCGTCTCACTTGTAATCTGTTCTGAATGTTTTCTGTGTGCTGTGATTTTAGGGATTTGTTCATGAACTCTAGATTGGCAGTTTTTTTTTCCTTTGAGTACATTAATGATATTGCTTTTTCTTCTGGCTTGAATTTTTTTTTCTGATAAGAACTCTGCAGTATGCTTATTTTTGTTCCGCTGCATGTAAATTTCTTTGGCTATTTTTCGTATTTTTTCTTTATTACTGTTTTTCAGCTACTTAGGTTCTGTGCTTGTTGTGGCTTCCTTTGTGTTTTTCCTAGTTTTTCCTGGATCTGTGAGTGTATGATTTTTCCTTCAAATCTGCAAAACTTTCAGCCATTACTCTCTCAGACTTTCTGCAGCCTCCCCCCCCATTTGCTGACACCAGCTCCTGGGTCACTGAGGGCTTCTTCTCTGAGGGTTTCCATTTGGATGGTTTCTATTGCTGTGTCTTTGAGTTCACAGATCATCCTTCCTGCTAAGTCCTTCCAATGAGTTTTTCATTTCAGATATTTTATTTTTCAACTCTAGAAATTCCATTTGATTCTTTTTAATATTTTGCCTTTCTTACATCATTATATTCACATTTTCATTATATCAATGCACGTATTTATAATAGCTGTTTCCAAAGTCATTACTGGTTCTTTCATCTCTGTCATTTATGGGTCTGGTTCTATCAACTGCTTTTTCTCCTGGATTGGCTCATGGTCCCCTGCTTCCTCACAAGTCCTGTAACTCATTTTTTAAGGCGAAATTCATACAACATAACCATATGAAAGTGTACGAATCAGTGGCATTTGGTACATTCACAGTGTTATGTAACCATCACTTCTACGTAGTCACATTGTCATCGCTCCAAAAAGAAACCCTGAACCCCGTAGGCAGTCACTGCTCATTCTCCCTCCTCCCTGCCCCTGTGGACCACCAGTCTGCTTCCTGTGTCTGTGGACTTACCTATTCTGAATACTTCACAGAAGGGGAATCACATCATATGTGACCTCTTGTATCTGACTTACTTCACTTAGCACAGTATTTCTAAGACTCAGCCTCATCAGAGGATATGTCAGTGCTTCCTTGCTTTTTTATGGCCACATTATATTCTGTTGTTTGTATAGACAACATTTTGTTTATCCATTCATCAGCTGACAGACAGTTGGGTTATTACAATTTTGTTTTTTATGAATAGGCTGTTGTGAACACTTGTGTACATGTATTTGTCTGAATACCTGTTTTCAATTATTTTGGATTTATTCCCAGAAGTGGAGTTGCAAGGTCACAAGGTAATTCTATCTGCAATGTTTTGAGGAATTTCCAGTTTTCCACAGCAGCTGCACCGTTTTAAATCCCACCAGCACTGTATGGGATTTCTGATTTCTCTCCATTTCGCCGAGATTTTTTCTTTTATCACAGTCGTCCTAGTGAGTGTGAGCACGTGTCTTGAGTGCATTTACCTGGTGGCTAGTGATGCTGTGCATCTCCTCCTGTGGGGCTGACCTTTGTACGTCTTCTTTGGAGATGTCTGTTCAAATCCTTTGTCCATATTTTTAACTGAGTAAGTCTAGTGACTTTTTATTGGATGCTGGATATTGCGGATTTTAGGTTTTCGAGTGTTGCTTTGTTGTTGTTTCCTTTTAAAGAGTGTTGACTTTTTTGGCAGCTATGTTTGTATCGTCTGGTTCCCTCCGCGGCTTGTTCTCCACACTTAGGATGGGAACGGAGTAGCCTTTAGTCTAGAGTTAGTTTAGTCCCTTCGCTGAGGCATGCGTGACCGCCTGAGGTCTCTCTTGAATGTTCTGGTGTCCACCCTGGTTGCTTAGCACTTAAATATCTCCTCAGTCTATGTGAAATTTGGAATGTTCAGCTTCCCTCGCCCCTTGCTTGTTCCTTACGTGGACTTGTGGAAATTTCTCCAGCTCCTCCCTGATGTGGTGCTCAGTGACAGAGTCAGGATGACCACATCTGTTTGCATTTTGCTGAGAGCACAGTCCAGTGTGGGTTCTTGTCCAGTGTTCACATCCAGTTGTTCCATATACTTTGTCCAGTTTTCTAGCTGTTCACAGTTGGAGGGCATGGTCTGGGCCAGTTACTCCATCACGACCAGAAGCGGAAGCCTCTCGGCCTTCTTGGCTTCTTTTTCCCTTGTTTATTCCCCACCCCCTCCAACTTTTATATTGAGATACAACTTAAGTATAATAAACCACACATATTTAAAGTGTAAAATTTAAACAGGTTTGATATAAATGTACACCCCAGAACCATCACCACGCTTGCACATTCCTGTCGCCCCCAAAAGCCTTGTACCACTGGTAGCCCTTCTCTCCCCTCCTCCACCACAGGGCTGTCAGTGATCTGTAGTTGGCATTTTCTAGAATTTTGTACAGATATAATCATACAGTGAGCTCTTTTATGAAGAGATCTGACTTCTTTCATTGGCATAATGATTTTGAGATTCATCCCTGTTGGGTGTATCAATAGGTTTTTCCTTTTTTTCCTGAGTAATATTCCATTGGATGGCTATACCACATTTTATTTATCCATTTCTCTGTTTCAAACGTTGGAAGCAGCATTCAGGATGTTTCCAGTTTTGGGTTATTACAAATAAAGCTGCTATGAACAAGTGTGTGTGCAATTCTTTGTGTGGATGTATGTTTCCAATTCTTTTGGCTAACTACTTGGTGGAGAATGCCTGGGTCACAGTAAATTCATGTTAAAGATTTTAAGAAACTATCAAATTGTCTGTAGCGTCTTATACTCTTGTCAACAGAGTATGAGTGTTCCAGTTCCTCCATTCGTTCACCAACACTTGGTAGGGTCAGTCTTCTTAGTGTTAGCCATTCCAGAAGGCACACAGCGTATCTCCAGTTCTAACTGGCATACTCTTTCCATTTCAGACGTTATGTCCTCACGTGGCCACTGGACAGCACATGTGGCCCTGGCCTTCATTCCCTCCTTCTCAGTCTGCAGCGCCATCCCACAAACTCTTACAGGTCTGCAAGGAAGTAGCTCAGAAAGGGAAATGAAGAGTTAAGAAGCACAGTGATAGGAAAGAGCAATTTAATGACTGTTGAATCTAATAAAAAATGATGGGCTTTTGTGTATGTCTGAAGTTAAATTTTTTTTCTAGTAACTCATTTTTATTGGATTTCACAAAATTTCTGGTCTGAATTGGTTCAATTAAATAGATTGAAAGGTTTAAAAACTGCTGGTCCCCAGACAGTTTGGGAGCTCACCCAGATACTGCAGGGCCCTCTACTGCCTTTTCTCCTGTATCCACATTCACTGCCTGGTGGTCTTGCCTGGCCACTGCTTCCAACCCTCAGCACCTCCTGCATCAGCACTCCCGGTGTACACCACCTCACCCCTGAGCGCCAGAGTCAGGTCTTTCTGTGATGTCTACTTGGATGTCCTACCAGCTTAAGCTTAAAATCCCCCAATTCCTAGTCTCTCTAAACCTGGTCTATGGGCTGCCTTCCCATCTCAGCCCTGTTCCAGACACTCCCTTCCCGTGAACTTGGGGGTCACCTGACATTCCTCTTTCTCTCACACCCACAGCCCCCCCAGCAAATCTAGGGGCTCCACTGCAGCCAGAACCCACTCTTCCACACTGCCACTGTTTCCTCTTCTTCCCTGGTTCCACGTGGTGCCTGATCAGACGCTGTCACAGCCCGGGTCTCATTCACAATAACCGCCTCCTGCTTTGCCTATCCGCCCGGCTGACACCGTGGTCTCCATCCCAGGGCTCCCACCACACCGGGCCTCCCTGTGGTTCCAACGCGCCAGGCACACTCCCACTCAGGCCTTTGCCGAGCTGCCCCCTCGATGCTCTTCCTCCAGCGTCCAAAGGGTCACGCTCCCTCTTCCTTCCCTGGACACCCTCGCCCACCAGCAGCCCCTTTACCTGGCTTTCTCATCGCCGTCTGGCGCTTGACCTCGGCGCACAGCAGCCCCTCTCAGCCGGTCTCGTAAACCCTCACCTCCTCCAGCTTTGCGCTCCCAGCCACCCGTCCTGGAACTGCCCCCAGGCTCCTCGCGGCACCTCAGCAGGAGCTCCCAGTTCAGACGCTGGCACCCGCTGGGGACGGCGCGGCCCCTGCCCCCAGACACCTCCGGAGCGGAGGGGCTGTCTGCGAGTGGCGCCCTAACCATCGGCACCCCCGTCACAGGGCCGGGAAGAAGTAAGGCAGAGGGAGCAAACGGCATCCCGGCCGGCGGGCACCGCACGTGCAAAGGCCGGGAGTTGGCACGGAGGTTCTGGAGGTTGCGGAAGGCTCCGTGGGCGGAGGTGGGGCGGAGGGCGGCGAGGGGCACCTTCGGGGGCTCTGGTGGGGGCAACGCGGAAGGACCGAGAGGAAGGCAGCGCCGACCGGGGGCGGCGCCGTTGGGCGGGACTGTGGGGAGGAGCTCCTCGGGGGCTGGGGCTTGGGCGGGGCTTGGGCTGCAGACCCCGCTCTGCCCCGCCCGGCGCAGGCGCAAGGGAGGCACCGCCGCCGGTTCCCAAGGCAACTGGATTCAACAGCTCGAGCCCAGCCGGTGTCCGGAGGACTCCCGGCTCTCACCGGCCGGCATGTGCGCCGCCGAGGTGGACCATCACGTAGCCCAGCGATACCTGCTCAAGCGTCGGCTCGGGAAGGGGGTGAGTTCCGGGAGGCGCCCGGGCGTCCGTGGGATCAGGTTCCCTGCAGGGTGTGGGCAGAATCACTCGGAGGACTGTTTGTTGCCTTCCACACTGCCGGGGACTCCTGGACTCGAGTCCTACCTCCTCCACGAGCTGCAAGTGTGGCCTCGGGCAAGCCATCGAGCCCCTCGGTGCCTGTTTCCTACAACAGGGCCCTAACAGTGCCAACTCCCAGGGAACTTGTCACCTGGCTCTGGGAGTCTCAGGCCAGGGCCTCTAGGAGTCTCAGGCCCCATCTTGATGTCCCATCCACCCACCGTCCCCACTCAACGTCCCCGGCTCCCGAGCTGCCTCTCCCAGTGCTAACGGATGCTCCAGGGAGTCTGGGCACACCAGTCGTTGAGGGGGAAGGGCAGATCTCAGGCCCCACCCAAGAAGGGCCTGAGCCAGAAAATGGGGTGGGCATAGAGTGGGGGCCAGAACTTTGTGTGAGCCCGTATATGTTTGTGATTGCGAGTGAGTGAGAGCGTGTGGGATTATGAGAGTGTATGTGTGAAGGTGTGTGACTGGGTGTGTGCAAGTGGGTAATGGGGGAGGGGAGAAAGAGCAGTCCAGACAGAGCAAACAGCATGTGCAAAGGCCCTGAGGCAAGGACCTACTGGGCTATTGGTGAAACAGCAGAGTTGATGTGACTGGATGGGAGTGACTAAGAGCACTGTCCATTTGTGTGGGGCTTTGGGGGAACTGTGAGGGCTTTGGCTTCCATTGTGGGTGACATGGGAAGTGGTAGCAGCCATTGGCACCACTTTATGAGGCTCTCCTGCCCACTCTGTTGAGTATGGACAGTGGGAGTGGTTGAGGGAGATCCAAGCGAGAGGTGCGAGAGGCTCAGACCAGGGTGGGGGCAGCAGAGATGGTAGGAAGTGGTTGGATTCTGATGAATTCTGAAGGTGGAGCTAACAGGGCTTGCTGATAGGCCAGATGAGGGTATGTGAGAGAGAGGGATGAGGGCACCCAGGATGGAAGGCTGTCCAGAGAAGGGACAGGCTTCAGTTCCTGTCCAGAAGCATGCTCCCATCTACAACCTCATTTCTTCCTGGAGCCTCCACAGATGCCCCCTCTCTTTCCTTCAACCCTCCTTGCTTCCTATTAGGAACATACTAGGGTCCTCGGCCTGCCCCGGGGCGGGGGGGGGCTTTGCCCCTCACCATGCTGTATTCCCTCTCAGGAGCCAGGGTGGGAAGGAGGAGCCTCATGTCTGCAGGGGACAGTCTGGCGGACAGGGGATGATGGGGCAGGAGGCTGACCCCATGCCCAGCAAGCTGACTGCCCTCCTCCCCAGGCCTATGGCATCGTGTGGAAGGCAGTGGATCGGAGGACTGGCGAGGTTGTGGCCATCAAGAAAATCTTTGATGCCTTTAGGGATAAGACAGATGCCCAGGTAAGTGAGTGGTTAAGAGGTGTGGGAAAGGATGAGGCATGGGGAGGGGTGGCCCCCTGCTGCTATGCATCTGGAAGATTCAGCAGAAACTTGAAGCCCCATCACAGCAGGTTTCTGGCATCTCTCAGAGCACTGCCCTCGGTGACCCCGTGTCCAGTGTGTGAGATGAACATCAGTCCTATCAGCTCCTCTCAAGATATGGGCTTCCTTCTTGCTCTGCATCCACACTCCTGTTTTCGTCTCTTTCCAGAGAACGTTCCGGGAAATCATGCTGCTCCAGGTGAGTGGCCCAGGCCACCTGCCTGCTTTTCCAGGTGCCGTCTCTCCAAATAAGGGGGAAGCCTGGCCTGTTGATCCCCAGAGCACAGCACCCTCCACTTTCTCCCCAGGAATTTGGGAACCATCCCAACATCATCCGACTCCTGGATGTGATCCGGGCGGAGAATGACAGGGACATTTACCTGGTATTTGAGTATATGGGTGAGTGAGGCCTCATGCAGACCCCAGCCCAGATTCCCCTGGCCTGGCCCCCAGTGGCCTGGCTCCCTCCACATGTCCCTTTGCTGCTTGGGTCCCCATAGTGCCCAGTGTGCTCAGCTTGGGCCATGTCCCTGTGCCCCAGGACAAACAGCTGGAGAGTATCTGCCCCCAAGCCCTGGTGGCAAATACCCTGACCCCTCTGTGAGGCTCCTGCCCTGTCACTGTTTGCAGATGCATCTTCCTTTTTCTATTCATTTTATAAAACAAAGGCAACATGAAATTAAGTATAAAAGTAATTTCACAAACTTTTACTGCTGTACCAACAGATGGCGGGCAGGCTTGAGAAGCCAGCAGAGGGTCCCAGGCATTGCCTGCACCCAGAACAAGGCTCAGAGGGTGGCCAGCGGGACCTGGAGACTGTAGGCAGTAGGCAGGCTGAGGCGCCCCCACAAGGGTCCAAAGTGGGCCAGACCTGCCTGCTTTCCCTAGGCCCCCCAGACTGACCTGAATGCCCCCCTAGACACTGACCTGCATGCCGTCATCTGCAAGGGCATGGTGCTGAAGGACACCCACAAACGCTACATCTTCTACCAGCTCCTGCGGGCCACCAAGTTCATCCACTCGGGATGCGTTATCCACCGGGACCAGAAGGTGCTGCCCCACCCCATCCCCTGAGCTGTGCCCCCACCCCAGTGTCCTCGAGCTCCGGTCCTTATCAGCCCTCCACCCACCTCTTCTCCCCCAGCCGTCCAACGTTCTCCTGGATGCCAGCTGCTCGGTGAAGCTCTGTGACTTTGGCCTCGCCCGCTCCCTCAGCAGCCTCCCTGAGGGGCCAGAGGGCCAGGCTCTGACCGAGTACGTGGCCACACGCTGGTACCGAGCTCCAGAGGTGCTGCTGTCCTCAAGCTGGTAACAGCAACCCACCCCCATCCCACCCCATCTCCCCCTGCAGGTCCCCTCATGCCCTCCTGCCCAGCCAGAACCCCTGGCCTTCCTATGTCCCCCACAAGTGTCCCAGATCCCACCCCTTGAAGTCCCTCCTCTCACTCTCACCTCTTTCTCAAGGGTCACCCCCACACATCCACCACCTCTTCCTGCCCCAGGTACACCCCTGGGGTGGATATGTGGAGTCTGGGCTGCATCCTAGGGGAGATGCTGCGGGGGAGGCCCCTGTTCCCTGGCACATCCACACTCCACCAGCTGGAGCTGATCCTGGAGACCATTCCGCCACCATCCGAGGAGGGTGAGCGCGTGTGCAGGGGTCCACTGGGCACCAGGCACACTGAGGGTCAGAACACACAGCTGTGGGGGGACAGCACCTGACAGGCCAGAACTGCATAGGGAGGATGGCGAGGAGTGAGCTGGGGATGGGAACCTGGAGGAGGAGGGACTGGGAGAATCCAGATGCCTCAAGAAGCCTGGAAGGTCAGGCCCTGCAGGTGGTGGCCCAGGGAGGAGCTGCTGAGGGGTTTGGGGGAGGAACTGGACAGATTCTGCAAGGGCCACGAGGTCCCTGAGGGTCAAGCCGTGCTGCTGAAGCGTCCATCCAGGTCAGGACAAGAGCACTGGCTCTGCTGAGGGGTGATGGGGGACCCACACTGTGCTGGGAGCTGGGGAGGGACACTGGCAGAAATGGGGGTGGGGCCTCAGGGTCCTTTCTCCTCCCTGGGGGAGGGAGGGTGAAGGACAGCGCTAGGGGAGCCCTGTTCTCTCCCCAAGTCTCTGCTCTGGTGGAGAAGGCAAAGGGCTCTCCTGTGGAGGTGGGAGCACAGGACAGGGGGACGTGTGTGCACATGTGAGTGTGCACATGTATGACGGACAGGTGGGGCTCTTATGCACAAGTGGCGGTGCGCAGCCAGATACTGAGGGTTGGAGCCCTGCCGGCAAGAAGGTCGCTCACGGGTCAGAAGGGCTGGCTGCTCCCGCCCTCCCTGAGCTGCCCCACCTACCACGTTCCTAATTGCTTGTCGCACCTCCTCCTACCTGCACTCCCAGACCTCCTGGCTCTCGGCTCCAGCTACAGTGCCTCAGTTGTGCCCCCGCTGGGGTCCCGGTGAGTGTGGGTGCTTGGGAGCGGGCTCTAGTGCCCTTCCTACAACCTTAAGGGCCAGTATGTGCCAGCTCAGGGGGCCCTGCCCTCCTGATGGTGCTCCCAATCCAGAAGCTGTTGGTCTGGCTGAAAAGGAGGAGATCTCAGCGTGGCCCCAGCTCGGCCCGGGCGTGCAGCAGGAGCTGCGCCAGGCCTTGCAGCGAGGGGACTGGAAGGGAGGCGAGGGCTGACGACCCTCCCGGGCTGCCTGCGGGTGGTGCTTGGAACCACAGAGACAGGAAGGTGGGTAGGGGTGCAAGACTGGAAGCCTAGCCGGGGCCACAGCTGTGGACGTGGGGAGGGATGCCAGCAGCAGAGGGGATGATAGGCAGGTGCTGGCAGGCCACGGCAGACACTGGATGCCCTCCTGCCGGCCGACACGCCCCCGGAGGCCCTGGACCTGCTCAAGCGACTGCTGGTGTTCGCCCCAGACAAGCGGCTTAGCGCGGCCCAGGCACTGCAGCACCCGTATGTGCAGAGGTAGGGCGGCTGCTGGGTTGAGGGTTGGAGTGGGTTGGAGAGGTCAGAGGGACGTGCTTGACTGCAGCCCGGGTCTCCCCTCTCCAGTGCCCGCCTTGCTGGCTCCCTGCAGGTTCCACTGCCCGGCCCGTGAATGGACACTGGAGGCGGCTGTGCAGCTTCCAGTGCACGAAGTGGCCCAGCTCTCAGCCACCGAGTATCGCAACCATGTCTACCAGGTGCTCTGTCCCGAGACCCCGATCGCTACCCATCCACTCACCCTAGAGGCCTCTCCCTGCCTCAGTAACCTCCAGTGTCCCCCACGCCCACACCAAGCACCTCTGAGCGCCCCTCCCCTCTCACAGATGGTCCTGGAGCGCAGGGGCAACAGCTGCCTCCGGAGAGGGAAGGGCCTGGGC